CTCCTGCAGCCCTTGTGTCTCTCACACAGTAACACACAGCACAGCCAGGGTCTCTTGCTTTGCTGATGGAGAGACCCTGTGTCAGTAATTACCTCATCAAGGGCACACTCAACATTGCTGAGGTGATTTCACAGGCAACATGGTTGGCCTGTTTCCGAGAACCCTAGCCCTGTTCCCCACCGCTGACGCTGTCAGGCCTTGGAGGCAGAGGGCTCCTTGAGTCTTGTAAGAAGACAGGCCCTGCCCTGCACCCCGAACAACAGAGCGCCGGCTGTCCTTGACATTTCCCTGGCGGTTGTCATCCTTTTAGATGTCATCTGTTGAAGAGGGTCAGGCTGGTAAAGGCACAGCCTGCTCTCCTGACCCCATCCCTAGTCACAAGCTTGGGTGGTAATTAGAAAAACAAGACAATTTCCAGTCATGGGAGGGGAGCCTTCTCCCCAGTCGCTTTTCCTCTGGACTTCTTTCTGGAACTTCCAGGGGAAAGGACGATGGTGAGAAGAACTGGTCATTGAAACCCGTACAGAATTCTCAGTCATCCAAGACTTACCGAGTACCCACTGTGTGCTGGGCGCTGGGAAGGGAGCAAGGCAGTCACAAGCCAGCGGTGTGGAGCTTGCAGCCTCGAGTCTAGGACTCCCAGTGCCCAGTGCCAGCCCTCCAGGGCGGGATTTAATGCTGTCGGCGTGGGTTTCCCAGAGAGGAGTGAGTGAGCAGGGGCAGAGGAGCCATGTGATAAGACCACAGCTGTAGAGTCCAGCAGGCTTTGGTTCTTTTCCAGCTGTGTGACTTTGACCAAATTATTTAACCTCCCTGGGTCTCAGTCTCTTCACCTGAAAATGGGGTAAATAACTCCTACCAAGCAGAGCTGTGACAGGGCCTAAGTAAGGCGATCGATGGGATCGCCTGGGGCATAGAAGCTGTTGGGGACTGAGATCCGCGGTTATTATTCTGCACTGACCAGGAGTCGGGGCTGTCGGTAGCTCCCCTCTGCGTCTACAGCATGGGTGCCGGGCACAGGAGGAGCCACGTTTATACTTGCTGGTGGGTGATTGGAAGGCGGCAGTTGTGGGTGATAAGACTGGGGAGAGATTCAGATTGGCTGGGTGGTCGATGGCTGCTGACATTTATGCAACATAATGCTCACTCGGTACCTGCCAGGCTCCATTCTGAGAGCTTTACCTGGATGACCTCATCCAGTCCTCGCAGTGACCCTGGCCGGAGACACTGTTATTATCCCCACTTTACAGTTGGGGAAACTGAGGCCTAGAGAGGCTAAGTGAACTGCCCAAAGTCACTCAGCTGGAGAGAACAGAACCAGGACTCAAACTCTGGGTTTCAACTGCAGAACCTTTACCACCTGCTAACTGCTGTCTCATCCTCGTACGCCCCTATTCTCTGTCTCCCAGTGCCCAGCGTCACCCTGAGCGGGGCTGAAGTTGTTGCCGTCCATCCATCCACTCACTCATTCATTCACTCATTCATCACTGATTGGGCTTTTTCTGTGCCAGCCTTGGTTTCTGCATCATAACAAATGCCTAGTGAATATTGAGTAAACGAGTAAATGAATGACTGTCCCCTCCCAGTGGGGGATCAGCATCTCCTCAGACCCCCAAACAGACACAGTCCTAGGTGGTGGGGGCTGTAATGGAGAAACATGGCTGAGGAAGCACCGATAAGGAGCCCTGGACCCAGCCGAGGGAGGGTCTTAGGATGAAGCGGTGCTCGTGCTGAAATGTACGTGGCGGATTGGGTTTCCTCACAAAGAGAAAGAAGGCCAGACAGTCTAGGCAGAGGGGAGAGCATTGAAAAGGCAGGACGGACTGCAGGAGGAGGTGACATTGAGGCAGGGCTGTGAGGTGACCACTGGTGTTCAGGAAGATCCTTCAGGCTGTGTAAGGAGGGAGGTGGGTTGGAAGGGTAGGGCTGGAGGCAGGTAACCTTGGCCAGAGAAGACGGGGCTATGAATTAGGGCTGAGCCAGTGGGGGAAGAGGAGACAGAAGCATCCAGATTTGGTACTGATGGGTGGATGAGTGGCCAGGGGCTCCAGGACGACCTCTCTCCATCTCATTTAGATCCAGGACAACAATGACATCACATACGCAGACCTGAACCTGCCCAAGGGGAAGAAGCCTGCCCCCCAAGCTGCTGAGCCCAACAACCACACGGAGTATGCCAGCATCCAGGCGTGCCCGCCGCCTGTGCCTGAGGACACGCTCACGTACGCTGACCTGGACATGGTCCACCTCAGCCGGGCCAAGCAGCCAGCCTCCAAGCCCGAGCCATCCTACTCGGAGTATGCCAGTGTCCAGGTCCAGAGGAAGTGAGCAGGACCACAGTCATCTCTAGGGTCTGTCCCCACGAGCCTTCCTGTCCCACGTGGGGCAGCCGTGATGAGGACAGCCAGCCCAGTTCCCGGGGGGCTGAGGTGGCGTGGGCCCGGGGACCCAAGGCTGAGGTTGGCTCTTGTCTCCCCAACTCACTTGGCTCTCCAGCATTTCCAGGGCGGCAGCCCCCTGCCTTGCCACACATGGAGACTGATGTTGCCAGACCTGCCAGGGAACAGACCTGGGAACTGGCCAGAGCCATTAGGGATCCAAGAACTCTCATGCCTCTCTCCACCAATGCGTGGATCTTGGTCATGGTCTTAGAGACCCTTGACTGCCTCCCTGATGCTCTGCAGCCTGATCTTCCAGGGTGGAGAGGGAGAAAACCCCGCGTCTTCCTCCCACCACCACCACCCAACTGGGGCTTTGGGAAAAGTTTTCCCTTTAGATCGAACTGCCCCATCCATGGAGAAGCTGGTAAAAGAACCTCTGGGACCCACATCCTGAGACTTGGGGAGGTTGCTGCCAACAGTCCTGGTCTTCCCATCGCTGGACTGATGAGCCGCAAGCCCTGGGGGAGGAGAGGACCCTCCAAGGAACCACCACCAAGGACCAAGGGACAAAACCCTTCTCTTCCTCACCCTCCGAGACTCCTTGAGGCCCCGTCATCCCGCCCGTGACACTCCATGTGGACCCAACTCTCCTTTCTAGACCTGAGCTTGCTTCCTCCAGCTAGCACTAATTCAGCAACATCTCGCTGTGGACGCCTGTAAATTATTGAGAAATGTGAAACGTGCAATCTTGAAACTGAGGTGTTAGAAAATTTGATCTGTGGTGTTTTGTTTTGTTTTTTCTTAAAACAACAGCAGCGTTATCTTGGCTCTTTGTCATGTGTTGAAGTTCATGGTTGGGTCTTGTGCAGTCCAAGGTTTAACAGTTGGTTGTCCTGGAGGGATTCTTTTAGAGCAGACACTGAGTGCCTCCAGAGTCCCGAGGATAGGGAAGAAGGTTCCGCTTTGGCTACTCCATGGAGATGCTTAGCCTTCTCTCCAGGACTAAATTGGCCATGTTCTCAGCCAAGCCACGTGGCTGGTACTAATGCCTTCCTTGCCCCCAGTGTAGTCCAAATCTGCCCCTTGCTTCTCGGGGCTGCCTCTTCACAGGGCGGTCCTGCCGACACCTAATGCCTCAGTCTACTCACCCATAGCGAGGGGAGCGGAAGGCTGCCCTCCGTCCCCTCCATCTCACAAGCACTTTAGGGCCATGCAGGGTAGGAAGCTGTGCCTGGCTGTTTTCCCCACCCCTTTAGCGACCTTCCCCCGTTCCAGCTCTCTGAGCTGATCCCTACAGGAGGAATCTTCCATTTCTGCTCTCAAACCCTACTGGGATCAAACTGGAATAAGTCCAAGACAGCCAGGACTGACCCGCCTTCTGTCGCCCTGTCTCAGGAGCTTGGGCAGAGGCTGTCACCTTGTTACCCTCTGATACCCATCCTTCCAATTCAGTGTGGGGGCCTAGCTGGGCCCAGGGCAAGCAGGTGTTGCAAGCCCTGTTTGTTTGGTCTTCACATGTAACTAATCAACTCTTAGAGCTAAGACACTAGTCTTCACTGCCCCTGGGTCCAGCCGTTTGATGCTCAAGGGATTCCAGGCTCAGGCTGTCAGAGTGAGAAGCTGAGCCATCCTGCCCCTCAGGAGATCCTCTGGTGGAACTTCAGATGCTCAGCACAGCCCCAGCTCTCTGGGGGACAGTGATTTGGTGTTTTACATGATGGCATCTAGGAATTAGCTGAGCCAACAGCCATGTGCACAGCTTTGGCCCGACGAGCTAGAGTTTCCCTGTGGCATCTGGGAGCACAGCGGCCCAGCCACCTGGCTCGAGCTATTTCCAAATTCCAAAAGGTTGGCCTGTAAACCTTAGTCTCCCTGTCTTCTGCCCAGAGAGAGCACATGTGCGTGAGCATGCG